AGCTTGAGATTCCCATACATACTGCTCATCATCATTGTGCTTTGTGGTAACAATAACCTTCTCAGCAACCAAATAAGCAGAGTAGAAACCAACACCAAATTGTCCAATCCTGCTGATATCAGCACCAGCAACCAATGCCTTCACAAATTCCTTGGTTTCAAACCTTGAATGGATACCAAGATTGTTCACCAAATCTAAGCAAAAAAATAGTAGTTATCATCAATGGAAAACATGATAATATATATATACTGGCACAAACATTGGACTGAAAAAATTGTAGAAATGAACTTACCAGCCTTGGTCATGCCAATACCACTATCAATAATAGACAGGGTGTTATTGGTCTTGTCAGGTGCAACACAGATAAAAAACCGTGGCTGGGCATGGAGCTTGCTCTTGTCTGTCACGCTCTCAAATACAATTTTGTCCAAAGCCTGATAAGTATAATGACAGCAACATATCAACAATTAATTATACGAGTACAAGTAAATCCTTCCGAATTTATTTGGAATATCATTGGTTTAATCCTTAATGTCCCACCAAAAGGAGAGAAACAACACCACCAAAGTAGGAGGGGTAGAAACAGAACCCTTTTAAAAGCATCAAACATTTATCTCAGAAAAAGGTCATAAGCTTGACAGGCATACAATGCAAAAAAAAGGAAAATCGTTAAAACAAAGAATGCATCCAATAAATAAACCGTGAAAGCAGGAAGCATGGAATGGTTGACTCAACAAGACACTCATAGCATGAAAACTAAAACGCGACTTCACGAATCAACGAATGAAGGAAGAAGGAGATACGTACATTAGAGGCGATGTTGATGATCTCAGGGAGGAAGATCTCCTTGTTGCTGTGGGAGTTGTCGATAATCACGCTTTGCAACATGTTGATCTCATCCGGGAAATCAAACTTCTCGGCGTCCGCCATGGATGGATTACGCTGCTTTGAATTGAATAAAAGTAATAGGTGAACTTGGTGTTTCTATGGAGGAATGGCAGAGCAGAATTCTCAGACAGTGGAGCAACAGTGGAGGAAGTCTTTTTTTTTTTTGAGGAAAAAGTGGAGGAGTCATTGTATTTATACATGGTAGCGGATTTCATTCCACTTTCCATTTTCATTAATTTAAGTTGTCCCGTAACAGGCTCAATGGCCCTGGCACTCTCTACAGGCACTCGCCATACCATTTTGACACGTCAATCCCACTTTAAAGAAAGATTTGCCGCCGATTAAGATTTCCAAAATAATTTTTTTAAAGATTTTTTTAATTTGTATTTTAAAAATAAAAAATAATATTTAATTTATTAATTGTGTTATTATATGTATTTATATGATAATAATATTAAAATTAATATATTTTTTTATAAATTTTATATAAATTTATTAGAAAAATACCATTAACTTATGGCCAACATAAGTTTAAAAAAAATATATTTTTTAAATTTCCCCTCCATTCATCATCTAAAGCTAACATTTTGTTTCTCATAGAACAGTACAAAGGTGAAATCATTTGTATAAATTACGAAAATTAAAACAATCAATGCCCACAAGTCCCCTGGTTGTTTCATCACCTTCCGCCACATAGAGTAATTCCTTCTTTGTTCTTTACTTTAAAATTTATATATATATATATGTATATATTGGGCTCTAAAATCAGCTGCCTTTTCTTTTTCTTTTTTTTCTCTATTCACCTTCGAATAATATTTTCTATACTTTTCTTTAAAAAATATTATTATTAAACTACTTAAATAATTATTTTTCTGTATATTCTTAATTAATTTAATTTAATTTTTAATTATTTAAATAGTTATTGTAAATTATTATTCACATAAATTATTAAATTTTTATTTAAAATTTATGTCTAAAAAATTAAAAAGTTAAATTAAATTTATTAAAAATAAGCAGAAACTATATTTTTTTATTTTAAATTATACAATAAGAGACATTTATTTCTTATCCTTTAATTGATTTTATTTACATATCATATGTTTTAAACTCAAAGTCTTTTATTTTTATTCAAAAAATTATTATTAAATTATTTAAGTAGTTAGTAATATTCTCTATATTTTATTTTGTAATGAAAACTAATGCTTTATTTTTATTATAGGAGTATTATTTATTTAAGTTGTATATTGTAAAATTTCTTACAATAGCTACTTGATGTAAGGGTTTAAAATATCCTCTCTCTCTACTTTGATCTTTAGGAAAATTTTAAAATTTGTTGATAACAAAATATACATGCTTTTAAAATATATTTTTATATTGTTAATTACTTAAATAATTTAGTAATAATTTCTTTTTATTCAAAGTAAGAAATTTTAAGTTTACACAACATGTAGATATAATAAGTTAAAAGATGAAAGAAAATTATCTTGTGTAATACAATTTAAATTAAAAAACTATATTTTCATATTTTATCTTCAAGTGATGTTGATTAAGATTTTTTTTTCTCTCCATAGTGTTGGCCGACTTTTACTCTCATCTTTAATTTTTCCTACTAACAATTAGATTATGATTTAGAGGTAATCTTTTTTTATTACTTTTTAATATAATTTTATTATTTAAATAATCAATTTTTTATTAATTTAAAATTCATAATATTAAATTTATTTATTTATTTAATAATATAAAAAAATTATATAAAAAATTATTTTTAAAAAACTATTTTTATATCACTTCTCATGACAATTAATCTTGCCAAGTCATATTTTCAGTTTAGGCCCTACTTGAAGTACTTACTTGCTAACCTCAGTTTCTCTGTGGGAGCTGGTTGTATATTTGGAAGAAACTTAGGGAGAGGAGTACAATTCCCACCATCCTGTGTGGTCTGGGCTTTAGCGTCCCACGGAGCTCCGAATTTCGAATAGATATCCGACCACTGCTGCAGCAAGAGGGAGAAGTAGAATCAACACTGATCATTTCGCTTCGAAACCAAGAGTTTGGGCAGCTTCACTAACTACCGTAGAGGTCACAAACTGCTATAATACTTAAAAAATTTTAAAAAAAACACTAATATTTAAATTAATAATATTTTATAATTAAAAAATAATAATTATAAGTATCTGAACCTCATCGTTCAACGATCATAAGTCGACTTGTAAGGTGCATACTCCCAATCCGAGGGTTGAGATTTGATTCCCCGCTCTCCCATATTTGTAACCTGTTAAAAAAATAATAATAATTATAAAGAAATAAACGTAGTAAAATTTATTACTTTTTGCATAGAGATAGTTTAAAATATTCATAGACCTCATTCTAAACTATGTTGCAAGCTGTCATGGTTCTATTGGTATACGCACGCTCTATTGATACACCGATTTTTGGTCACGTGGGCATATCGTGACTACTGCATCTGCCTTCTTGGGCTCTATACCGCCTCTTGAGCCTACCCATTCCCCAACATTACTCCCCACCCAGTGTTGGATTTACGAACTACTGTAGTAATTAATTTGGCCCAACGTGGGCCTTGAAGGGTTGAAATCCAGCCCCCGCTGGGGGAAGAGGAAGAAGAAGGATCAAAGCTGAACATTTCCCTTTGGAATCCAAGTAAAGAAGTTGCGGAGCTGTTGGGTCATCTACCAAAGAAAAGGAGAAATGCAAGGTTGGTTTTCTGGTGGCACCGGGATCAGCGAAGAACAACCCAAGGCGGGGTCGCCTCTGTTGGCAGAATGGAACTCGTACGGAGCTTCACGAGACTCAGAAGAGGGAGGAACGAGTGCATTTGGGTTCAATAGGGAGGCTGCTGTGGGGTCTGCCAATGATACTGTCACTGGCACCTTCAATGTTTAAGCATCATCTTTTTCCCGTTGATATTGGGAAAGTTTCTTACCTAAATTAAAAGTAAAAAGATCAAGAGATTAAAAAAATATAGTTAAAATTTTTTTTGAAAAATTTTAATTAAAAATTTTTTAAATTAAATTTTTTTTTTTGTATTAATTTCTCGGTTTCTGATAATTATTTTAAGTCTCGATTAATTCAGAATCAAGTTGTTTTCATTAGGAAAAACTCTCCCATCGCTGTTTCTCCATTTATAAGACTCAGACTCAAAATTTTATTTAAGGGACCAAACTCCTTCTACTTGAATAGGTTTTAAATTGTATTAATTATCTAATTTAATTATAAATATTTAATATTATTTTTATGTACATTGGTCTTATAAATATTTTATTTTTATTTTAATAGAGTTCATGTATTCTGTTAATTCGGAAGTTAAAATTTTTAAATTTTTAAGTTCAAACTCTAAAAATTTTATAGTCTAAAATAAAAGGTTAAAAACCTCAAATTTATTGAAGTGAGAGGTTAAATGTCATTATCAAAAGAATTGGTCCTACTTGTCTCATCAAATGGACAAAAAATTGATAAATAAAAGTTAAATATTTGACCATTAAGTAATTAAGGATCATATTTAATAGAATGTGAATGACAGCCAATTAAGGGTGACATTGATAAAAAAAAAAAAAAAAAAAGCATAGCAGGGGTAATGACATTGTTTTTTAATAATAAAGAATTTCAAGAAAGGGAAATCTGAGTATAAAACCTAAATTTTAGTTGTTTGAGCACTTTCGACATTAGGGTAAGTGGGTAACCAGTAGGTCGCTACATGCTGGATTAGAGGAAAGACATTTTTATTGCAAGCAAAGTAAAGGGATGAGATTGAACATTTCCTTAATAGAAGGATGATAATAAACATTTTCACAAAGTATGAGGTTTACTGTTGGCTTTAAGCCTTTCCTCAGCTGATAAGTTATTTTTTTTTCTTTGGATAATTTTTAATTTCTTTCTTCATTCTTTACATATTTTTTTTTAACATTGTGCTGTAAATTAGGAGGGGAAGAAAGTGTTTTTTTCCCCCTTTTTCACCTTCTAATAATTAATATTTTTTATTGATAATTTGATAGTCTGAATAAAAATAACTTGATTCTTTTTAAATAAGTAAAAAATTAAATTTAAATTTTATAAATAGAAAAAAATATTTTGGAAGAACTTACCTTATAATTTGTTAATTTGAGTAAAAATAACTTGATTCCTTTTAAATAAGTAAAATTTTAAATTTGAGTATCTTGAATAGAGAAATAAACTCTAAGAGAGCTTTCCTTACCGACAAAACTTTCCAATCTATCCCTACTCACCTTTTTTAGGGGTATGAATAGATTCACCTCTTAAAAAAATATAGGAATAAATTATCCTTTCAAATTATGAATTGAAACAAATCACACATTTTTTAACGGATTCTATTTGCCACGTAAGTATTTTTTAACAAAAAGTTGAGAAATCCATTAAAAAATAAGTAATTTATTATGATTTATAATTTAAAAGAACAATTTATTCTTATATTTTTTTTAGAGATGAATTTGTTCCTATCTACCTTTTTGAGGGCTGAATTTGGGAGTTTTGACTCTTTTATAAAGTCAAATTTAACTCGATTCAAAATTAATTAAGGTTTAATATAATTTTTTAATATTAAAATTTAGTACCAAAAAAATAATAATAATT